CTGGTCATAAAGCTAAATGACAAAGTAACAGAGCACAGGAGGGGTGGCTGGTGATGTGTAAAGGGTACTTGAGATCCTTACAAGTGATTGTGAGCAGGAGATAAGCAACTCACTTCTTAATCACAGTGTGCCACGCTCAGAGGAAAGGCAAATGTCACTGCAGAATAACAAGTCCTCTGAAGGCACAAAATAACCTGCTTGTAGGGCTTTCAAAGGTTACTTCAAAGCTTGCAGTCAGAATGTTATCAGGATCTCACGTTTCAATATTTGTGTTAAGCCACGATGTTAAAAAAACCCTCAAAACATTTTTAAGGTGGAGCTGGAGCAGGTTTCTGAAGATAATTCTGGGATGTAGTCACCTGTGGAGTCACCTAAGGAGGGGGAATGGTGGTTCAAGAGGCCTTTTCCCATTCCATACATCTAAAATGTAATAATTAAATAAAGAGGATTGTTATGCAAGGGGGCAGCAAGCTGATGGAAAGACATGCCAAAACCCAAGCTTTTACAAGAATTGGAGCTAATCTGTGTTACTATGTCTTCTCCATGTCTGTGCAAACTGGAATTACAACTTGTACACTGAGCAGCATTGATTTCACAGTGCTCCCCAGCTGGAAGGAGCTCAGAATGTTGGACCCACAGATCGGAGAGTGCCACCACCCTGTTGTGCCTGCTGGCTGCCCCAAAGCACTGAGGACCTCGAGTCCTGTGGCCAGCTCTGGATTCCCCACCTCAAGAAGGACATTTTGGTGCTGGAACATGGTCTTAAGCTGTGACCGGGGAAGTTTAGGTCAAACATTACAAGGAATTTTTTCACAGGAAGGGTGACTTAGACATTGGAATGGGCTGCCCAGGGAGGTGGTGGAGTCACTGTCACTGGAGGTGTTTAAGGAAAACTGGATGTGGCATTCAGGGCCATGGGCTGGGTGACATGGTGGTGTTTGGTCACAGGTTGGACTCAATGATCTCAGAGGTCTTTTCCAACCTAATTGATGCTGTGATCACTTTGATCCTTATCACTGCCCAGAGATCATTGTCACCTGCTGCCACTGAAATATCACAGAACAGTTTGGCCTGTAAGGGACAGTGTTTCCAAAGAATTGTTGGTGGCCCATGGTCATGGCTAGTACTCCTGCTGCCAGGCCTTTGACCAATCCACAGATGAAACCCCATGCATTAAGATAAAACATCTTAAATGAAGTCTCAGAATACTGCACTAAGTATTTTCCACAGCTGCCAGATTATTATCAAATTTCTGCCTTGTAGGAATTCTGAAAGTCTTTTTGGTTTAAATGTGAACAGTTTCAAGTGGCAAAATTCCCTTTGGTTTTCAGCCAGTTCAATAAGGCAACAGCACTGGCTCACGGAAAGGGGAAGACAGGTCATCTTGAGAAATGAGACTGACTTTATGCTATATCTCTCACTTACTGGTACTTTCTTCCTCAGACCTGAGGATTTTTACAGATGGAGGGGAGAGAAGTCTTCTCTGCAATGTCCTAGTTCCACAGTTCTGTATCCATAAGTCCATGAGTCCCCAGCAGCTTTTCCCTCATCCCAGTAAAAGAGACAACATGTAGAATCATGCCAGTTTGTTTCCAGGAGGATGCTGTTTTGACACTGATACTTAGAGACAAATATTTATTTGGAGCAACCCTGTTTATTTATCCTGCTTTGTTTTTCTTCCTGGACCAGTGGGAACAATCAACAAGTCCATTTCCTTGTTGGGAAATCATGGCTGGATTTGTCAGTAAGTTCTCTAACCAAAAGAAGTTTTGGGTTCTGGTTTCTACCCAGGGCCACACTTTTTTTTTTTTTCTTTTTTGGTGTATGATTGCTTTCTCCTTATTTTCACTCTCTGGCTGATTTTTTAATAGACCTGCAGTCAAGCAGCACTCCAATGTCTTAATCTGCAACTTATTTCCGAGGAAATCCTCCCACAAGGATGGGAACCATCTCATGACATGTGGTCAATGGCTTGGGGATGGTCACCCATCATCAAAGAAAGAAAATTGTTTCATTATTGAATGCAGGTTACTTCATCCAGCATCAGTCTTTACAAAGTCTGTGAATTATAGCAGTTGGTACAGTGTAACAGCTTTTCTTGGCAGGTAATGTTTACATATTGCCCAACCTTGCCTAATTTCTATGTACATTTCAAAGATTATTGGTTAAAATGGTCAAAGGTACCATTACCATAAAACGTTACATGCTTTATGCTAGAAAGTTGTGATTTTTTTTCAGTTTAGACAGACATTCACATGTCTGCACAGGCAAAGGAAAGGGATAACTTTTATTTTAATGTAAAGCCTGTGTTATTCAAGAACTGAAGAGAAAGAAGTCCAGCAAAATAAAGGTTATTATGTAAATAAAGCTGAGAGGGGAAAAAAACATGTTGAAAGAAATGTGATGTTTACATGACACATTTAGGAAAAGTTCTTTCTCATTTCCAGGTCATTTTAATTGTAAGAGGGCACCTGCGTGTTAAACTGTATGGCTTGAAGATTCTTGGGAGGTATAAAGATCACAGATTATGGCTTTGGCTACTGTTCACCATATGAAATCAAGGAGAGGAGGAATTTAACAAGTGTGAGTGTTGTAAAAGCTGTCACCAAGCAGTGGCTGTGCTGGGAGAAGCAGTAGGCCCTGGTGCAGCTTTGGCACTGGGTTTGCTGGTGTGCGGTCCCTGCAGTGCCCCTTGGTACAATCAGAGGTGACAATGCTTGGTGTCCTCGAGCCCATCAGCACAGAGACAGTGGGAACAGCACCTGGAACAAGTGGTGTGAGTGCCTGTGGGTGAGCAGGGTGTTAAAAACACCCAAAGGGTATTTGGTTTAAGGGCTGCAGTGCCTCCGTGCTTTAGGGAGTGGATCTGGCTGTAGACAGAGAGGAAAAGTAGCAAAAGAAGAGACGAGAAAGTGCAAACCAGGATTTTTTGGAAAACACTTCTTTTACCCCGCCTTTGTTAAAAATTAAAACAAATAACCCACCAGCTGAAAAATTATATTGAATAATTGCACTTCAGATACTATGCCAACAAAACACACATGGGCCGTGGTGATAAAACATTTTCTCCCAGTGGAACAAATCACTTATCAGGCTATGATACAAAGTAAGGAAACATTTCAGTACAAGTGAACTTTAGCTTCACAATAGCTGCAATAAGGGAATGCTGACTTTCAGCCTCCTTATTTGGAGGAGAATTATCCAGACCTACCCACAGCCTTTACTTATCTGCTATTGTGTAATTTTTAATGTCATATTTGCTTATACGTGCCCCATAATTATTTTCCACTAGAGACATGTACAGCTACTATTTTGCTGCCTCACATGTTTCCTTTACATTTTCATCTCCCTCTTTTCTCAGCCACTTTGTCTCTCACTTTCTTTCCATACTATGACCATTTCCTTTCTTTCATTCATTTTTGTATTATTTCTTCCTTTTCTTTGGTCTGTTTTCCCTTTCCCATCTTTCATATTCTGTGTGACACAGAGACCGTAGACTGTCATTTTCGCTTTTCCCTATTTCATCCTCCATGATGTTTTCATAAAACTTGAGAAGAGAGAGAAAAATTTTGAGAAGCTTTTTCATTTATCCTGATCTCTCTAGTCTCTCTATGTCCTTTCTCCATGTGAGGAAACTAGCAGCTCATCCAGGAGAGGTTATTAGAGCCATGTCTGTACTGTGCTTTGGGGTGTCAGGAACTGGAACAAAACACTGGGTTGTGATGTGGAGGAGTGGTCAGAAACAGCACCTAAATTTTTCATTACCCTGATACAAAGAGGAAGCTGAGATTCCCCTAAGAATCACAATTAGGCTGATGTGAAAAGCCCTGTGAAAAAGGAGATTGCAAAGGTGGTGTGACAGAAAGGTTTCTCTGTGAGGTTGAGGCGTTTGTTTGCAGTGCGTTACTCCAAGGGCTGCTTCTGCCTATTGCTGATGAGACTTCATTTTTTACTCATCACAGATAGCCTGAAAATATGGGTATTTAAGTCTCATGAAAGTGAAAAAAAAGAAAGAAAATGAAAGCAAAACAGCCCTCCAAGCTCAGCAGGTGATACCACACTGGTATTATTTGGAGTTTTTCCTTACTTTTAATCTGTGAGTTTTTGTGTGTTTGTTTTTATAAATACCAGAGAAATGAAGGGAACATGCAAATTTCACCTGAGGACAGATACTTTTTCTGTTCAATACATAATTTCCACATTAATCTTCATATTTGGAAGACACCCATGACTTCACAGGAGGTAAAACAATTCCAAAAGCACCACTCTGCATTTGTATTAAGGAGACTGAGGGACAGTATGTGTTTTAGCAGCTGGATGTGTACAAAACAACTAATTTTGCAGGCAAAGGGTGTATCAGCTCTGCTTAAAAATACTGCCTATTTTCTTTGAGCATTTCATGACTAGAGAGAACTTGTAGATGCAGAAAGTCTGTTGACACTACTTAGCCTAAGCCAAGACTGTTGCATTTTTCTTCTTTTCTCTCCTCAGCAAAGCAAAGGGGCTGTAATGTACCAGGCTGCTCCTCATTGGAAGCAGCAAGTACTGCCACGTATGACCTTTTGTTGCTTTGACATGCTACCTTATAAGCTGGTAGCTTTAAGAAATGCAAGGCAGAAAAAATTTAATCTCCTGGAACATGACGTAAAGCCATTTAATTATTTTCAAGACATTCTTTGGGAATGACTGGGTTTGCTGCTCGAGGTGGGGTGTGTGCGTGTGACTGAAGGTTTGCACTTCACCAAAAAAGGCCTCCCGGGTGTCCCAGGGTTGTTCAGTCAGGCTGTTTCCTGGGCTGGCCTGGGCACTTGGAGATCATGGATGTTTTCCAACCAGGCTGCCAACTCTCTGGCCAGCCTGGGGAATTCTCAGGCTCACCCACTCCTGCCCACGAGCTGCAGTTTCAATGCCTCTGACAGCAAAGTGCTTTTCTTTGGCTGTGCTCCCACCAAGCACCCACAGCATGACTCCAGCCCTGCCGTTGCAAAAGATGCAGACTCCTGAGTATTAAGGATGGGTGAGAGATGGATTTTTTTTTTTTTTGGTCCACAGGGAATGCATTCTTCTTTCTCAGAATGGGAAAAAAGCACTGATTTTTTTTTCTCAAATTTCCTATGAGGCCAAACCAAATCCCTCCCCCAAACACCCTTAAAACCCCCTTTTTGAACTGCTCTCTAAGTTTCATTTTGATAAAAAACTCATCTCATTCTTACTCCACCTTGAAAAATATTTTTTTTCATGTACTATAAAGTGAAAGTCAAACCCTGGTAACCCATCTTTTTAAGCTGAAAATCTAAAACATTTGCTTTTAAGAAGTTCAGGCTAGACCTTTGAAGACTTTCTCTAAGATGTTTTGTTTTCCACATAAAGGTTTTTTTTCATTTTTCTTTTAATTTAACAGAAAACCCTTTATTTTTAACAAATTAGCACTGTTAGCTTTTTGCTTGTTGGTTGGTTTGGTGTTGGTTTTTGGTTTTTTTCTGGTGGGAAAGGTGTTGCCATGGAAGATTTCCATGCAGCTCTGAAGTGAGCTGGCCCGTGAAGATACTGGGAATGATTTTACCAATCAGTGCTAGAGAAGAGAAACATTTGGAACAAAACTTGACCCAGGGTCTCCTCAACTTCTCCTCTCCAGTGATGTACCTGCTTCTCTTCCCTGTATTCTTGTACAAACCAACCACTCCCCTAACCTACAATATAGGCACAACTGAAGATTAGAGAAAAAGGGCTTCAGACACTTAAAGAAGCTGGAAAGATACTCTAATCAAGTATATAGATCTTCACAGAAATGTGGAAAGATCTAATTCTGCTCTACAGTGGCTGAGATCCAGTGCTCTTCTCCTTTGATATTCCATTTTTTTCTGAGGAATGTTGTCTCCAAAGACTGCATCCAAAGATTGTTGAAGACAGCTGAGAAAATCCCTTATAATGAATTTTCCACAATTTTGAAAATCTTGACATTTATGTTTTCTTTTTTTTTTTTTTTGTTAATTTTGAAGGTGGAAGACCTGCTAGCGTATTTATGCTCTCTTCTTTGCCAGCTGTGGTAGTATTAGGTCTTGAACTGAGCCCTAAACCTTAATTACTGTAGCAGCACTGCAAAAAAGCCATTCTAATTCTGGGAATACAAACATTCCGTTGCCTCTCAAAAGTCTCAGCTAGAATAAAATGTCTTCTTTTAAAAGGTACTTATCTTTTAAAGCCAACTGCTCTGCTCTCATCACCACCTTCAGCCTCTGGGTCTAGAGGTAAGCTTCATCACTTTCCTTACACAAAACCTGACCTAAAAGAAGCAAAGCAGGGTTGTGGGTACAGAGATGATTCTCCTCCCGAGGCGGGTGGAAGAATACATAGCACTACTTTGTTAGAGAAAGGTTTTCCATCCATTCTCAGCCAAGGGAGACACATTTCGAGTTCACATTTCAGCTGACCAGACAGGGCTATATGGCTCTCAAGGAGTTTCTGTGGCAATGGATGAAAATATTTGTATCTGGATTTGTCTTCTGCTGTTTTTGTCAATACCAGAAAAGGTCAATGTTTTTCCTTGGTCAGGGAAAGATGATGTCTAGATTTACAGCAGCATGAAAGCTAAAAGAAGAAAAGCAAGAAGTAGTTTTGGCAAGTGGTGGATCCTTCAGTATCCAGGAACCATTAACCTATTTAAATGAAACTGTTTCTTTTTCTGTCCCCAGGACACTTCAGTCATTCCCATAAGCTCAGATCCTTCCAAGCAACTCAGAGGAAGCAAAGCTCCCCAGAAGGTCCCTGCTCATCTCTTCAAGCAGACACTGCAGAGAGAAAGCAACAGCTCATCAAGTCATAATGTCAAGGAAAGAAATGAACTAAACTAATTCTCTTTTCCTCTTGCTAGCCCCAGCATTTAATTTTTGACTTTTAGAGTCTAAACATAGCAACATGGCACTGAACAGAAGGCTTCCTAAATCTTAGGGAATCTCTTTAAAACCTTGTATTTAAAGCCTAAAGGAAATGTAATGCCTATTCTGACTATCTTCAAAGTAAATCAAGAACTAAGCACGATTCCTATCCCAGTGTTGTTGGAATGAGAAGCTGGATTCACAAAATGTTACACTATGGAAATCTAGAGTAAGAGTGCATTAAATCTGAGTCTTGCCCAGCACACCATCACTTTTCTGTCAGATTCCATCCCAATCTCTTTTTAATGCTGTTTATTTCAAATGTAGCTCCCCTACATTTTTTGGCTAGGAAATGAATACATGCGAGACCCCAGACCTCATGATTCCAGCAGCATGAGGGAGCAGACATTTAAAAACACATTTATCATTTCAAGGAAGCCATTCCAGGCTGCTTTTTCTGAGTGATTGAAAGCAGTTTAGGAAATGCAGGACACTAAAATAAGAGGAAGATGGAGACACAACTACTGGTATGCTCTCAAATTTGTTCAAGATCAGGATACTTGAGTATATAAGAGTAATTTCCACAAACTCTAGTTTCAAATCAAAATTCTTGGTTTTCCTCAACTAATGGAGCAAAAAGTTGTCAAGTGGCACATTTCGGGGTTAACACAGCACTGGCTGTTGCTCATGCCCACTGTTGGATATAAGTGAATACAAAAATAACTCATCAATGGTTTGAATTGGCATTGGATTTTTAAATCTGGTGGTTCTGATTTTAATTTAACATATCCTGTGGTGCAGTGTGTGAAATATGTACTTAACCCAGATTGTTGTGAGATGAAAGCACACTCGTGTTTATTTTACATTATTTGCTGTAGTTTGTTGAAAGCCAACATTCCTGGGCAGTGAATGCAGCAGGGATGAATCATTTGAACTAGGTGAGGGGTTAGCAGCTGGAAGAAAATGAAAGTTAAATAACTACATTAAATTTCAGCAAAATGGGTTAAAAAATGTAACACTAGAGAAACTTGTATCTCCATTCTGAGACAAGGAATTATGGTACTTATTTCAATGGGCTTTCTACCAGAACTTCTAATGTCAGCTGTGATTAGAGGTAATTAATATCACACATTTCCTACCTTCAGAACTGAGGTGCTGAAGGAAAGTTAAGTACAAATTGCTACCAAGAGCTGTAGCAAATGCACCAAATGACACTATAGCATCAGGGAATCAATCCTAATGATTCATATCACCATAGGAATCTTAATCAAGGACCAGGACATCACCAGATTGAGTATTGAATGGTTAAGGAAAAAAGATGGGCCCTGTGCTGGAGAGCTTAGCACTGAAGCAGAGGCCAAGGGGAATGACAAAGGAGGCAAAGAGAAGGGAAAGCAGAACAAAATGATGGAGCAGCAGCACCAGAAATGAGCCCAGCACAGGGGCAGTCCACAGTAAAGATTTTCTGAGAGCTTGTAACAGTGGTTTTGACAGAAGACAAGAGAGTGACTGCGTGGGTGTTGGTGGTGGGCCCGTCTCACACCTGACAGTGCTGGGAGTGATGGGCAAAGGTGCCTGCCTGAAAATCTATCAAGTGGGCAAATAAAGCTTATATTAAGGGCCAGATGAGAGCAGAAATTTTATCTGGTTGGTGAATGATGCACTTGAGCCTTGAAAGCAGAAGGAAGGGGCTTCTCCTGAGCACAGCAGGGCAGAGGAAGGGGGCCAGAGGCAGCAGCAGCAGAGCAAAAGCCCCCCCTGAGGAAAGGATGCTCACAGCAGTGTTTGAGCTGGGTACAAGTTGGATCAGACAGTGCTTTTCAAGGCCAGAAAGAAAAAGAGGTGGGAGTAGCTGAGATTCAAAATGCCAGAAGCCTGCACAGGAATTTTAGCTCAAAGGAGACGAAAGGCCACAGAATAAAGATGGTATTGAGGAAAAAATAAAATTAAAAATCACTGAGGATGTGAGAAGTCTGAGCCAAAGATATCTCCTAGGATGGCTGTGGGACAGGCAGCATGCTCCTGAGGCTATGGGGTACCTCCCAGAGCTGTCAGCTGAGCAGCTCTGCTCCCACCATGCTGGGCTGCAGCTGGGGGAGAGTTGTCTTTTGGATGGTGTTAGAGGGAGAGGCCTCAGCTGGGAGACATGGAGCAGGGGAGCAGGTCTGTAAATCACAAAGGACTGGGAAAGGGAATTCGAGTTTGGGGCTGTAGGTGAGGTTGCACAGAGACAACATGGACACACAGAGAGGAGCAGAAGAGAGAAGCAGATGCAGAAGTCCCTGGAGAGCGGGGCAGTGAAGAGAAGCATCTGCAGAAGGAGACTTGAGCAAGGAAGAGAAGCCAGGGGGTCACCAAGAGAGGATGGTGGCTCCATGGGTGCCTGACTCAGGTGGTGTCCTCAGGGCTGTGCACTGCTCCTTGTGGCCTCGCAGGCTGCTCTGCAGAGGTCTCTTGCTGGTCTCTGACTTTCTTCCTCTGCCTTCAGCTGTTCTGCCCTCCTTTCTCAGGTGTGAACAAACACCAAGGAGACAGAGGACAGGCTGGGACATCCTGCATTCTCTTGCAGCACTTGAAAGATCAGCATTACTGAAACCCAGAAGAAGAAGAGGTGTTGAAGGCTGTCAGAGTCAGGCAATCAGTCAGGCAGGTGCACTGAGGAGTACAGAGAGCTGGGAAAGAAGGGGCAGAACAGCAAGAGGCTTTCCTTGGGCTAGCAAACACTTGGGTTGCACAGCTACAGGCTTCATCATCACCCTACTCCCCCGATTTCAGTTTTCAGAGACAGCATGGTTTTAGTCCTTCATCATCCTGTCAGTCTGGTCCAGATGGCAGAGACTCAGAGCAAAGCAGTTATTCACCAAGAGAGGGATTGGAAAAGGACAGGCTCTCTCTCTAAAAGCAGTAAAGTTGCATTCAGTGAAGACTGCTCTATGTCTAAGAGCAGTAAGGGGCTGGACTGATGTAAAATGGAGGTGGTCCTGTCACTTTGGTCATTCTTATGTCTGCATTTTATGTATAGCTTCTATAACACTGAATAACACAAATTTTTGTTTATCATAGGCTCTTATCCTTCAAAAATTGTGGGAATCCTTTGTCTGGCCAAATAAGTGTTTCCTGGTTGCTCTTTCCATTAATCCTCTCAGTCTTTACGGAGGGGCAGAAAGATAGGGATGCTTAAATTTCTAGATCATTAAGATTGGAAAAGACCAAATCCAAAATCTGCTTTTTTCCCAATCACTAAGATTGGAAAAGACCTGTAAGCTCATTGAGTCCAACCCAGCACCTCCATGTCCAACACTAAACCTGCCATATCTTGACGACTTCTGAACATTTACAGGCATGGTGATTCCACCACTTCCCTGGGCAGCCTGCTCCAATGCCTGATCACCCTTTCAGTGAAGAATTGTTCTTTGATATCCAATCCCCTGGTGCAATTCCTAAGACTTCCATTGGAGATGCTCGCTGAAATTCAGCGCACAGGCACCTGCTGGAGTTTTGGGCTGATCTCTTTGAGGTGCAGAGGTTGTCAGTGCAGGGGCTGCTGCCGCAAGCCCTTGCTGCCTCACTTCTTTGCCAGAATTCCGCAGCTCCTGCCCTGAACCGCTCCAGGGTGTGCTGGGCCGGGGGCTCATCCCGGAGGGCGGGGAGGCATCGCAGAGTTCCCACTGCTCGCTGCCGGCTCCGGGGAGCGCTCCGGGAGGGGATGCGGCGGCTGCAGCGCGGGGCCGCGGCCGCCCGGGGGAGCGCAGGCACCGCCGCCCGCGCCGCGCTCCGCCCGCGGGGCTCCGCGGGCCGCACCGAGCGGAGCGGCCCCATCCGGGATAAAACACTGCCCCCCTTCCGCGCCTTACATAAATTTAAACTTTTCCCCCTTATATTTTTTTTCTCTCTCTCTTTTTTTTTTTTTTTTTTTCCCATTATCGAAGATCTCAAATATTCCGAGAGAGGTTACAAAATGTGTTTACTTACAAATTTGGAAGTAGCGACAAGACGCAATGCAGTGAATTTGTCATCTGCTCATGACTAGCAGATGGTCCTCCTTCTTTTGCAAGCAAACTGCGTGAGTCACATCTTGCCTGGTTTGTAGGATCGAGCCGAGGCGCTCCCTGGCACCGGGGTGGACAGAGTGGCCCATCCTGCTCCTGCCGCCTGCCCACACAGCCTGTGGGCTCCCTGGCACTGCCTGGATCCCACCGTGCCCTTTGGAAGGGTTCCTCATCCCTCCTGCTCCCACGGCAGATTGATCCGGGTGCTCTCCTGTCGATGGAGGCTGCTTCACGTGGCTCTCGCAGTGCAAAGGGATCTTTAAATGGGAGCATGTTGCATTAACATTTTACAGAGGAGCTGATAGAGATAACTGTGAATTGTGTTTAAACAGACTCATTTTTTAGCTGTGGATGAAGCTGAAGTGGGAAATGCAAAAAAGCCTGGTGAGACCCTTTTGGCTGGAATCAGTGCTGCTGCAGGCCAGTGTTCCTGTGAAAACCCTGCATCAAGGCATGACATGTTGAAGGTGGTTCTGAGCTGTGCTCTTAGTCAGTAATAAAACAAAACAAAATTAAATTAAAATAGTGCAACTCTACATAGGTTTAGAGGTCTGTGCAGAGCTTACAGAATTGGAGTTGGTAGTCCTGTTAAACAGATAAGGCTCGATTTTATTACAGGTATGTTAGAAGACTGTTTTACAAGATCTAACATTCTTTCCTGCCTTCCCTCTCTGGTTTGAGTTGATTTCTCTTGATAGCTTTTCCTCAGTTATGACACATTCTTGGTTTTGTCTTATCGTGTAAATCTGCATGATTGGTTTTCCTCAAGATTTGTGTCTGTGTGTGTGTATTCTTCACAGCAGAGCAAGTTTA